ACCTTTTTTAATAATGGTATTTTTTTTCAATAGGAGGGGTATGACATCACCCATATGGATAGTGTGCTCCATGTGGATCATGTCACACCACTCATAATGATCAAAAGTACTCATATTAAATACATGTTCTATGTACAAAACAATAATATATAAGTATCCAAAATTTGTTGAGTACAATTAAAAAATGCTCTATAGTGTGAGCACTCCAACATAATATATATACCCTAATAATATATATAACCTTTCATAACTTATATATATATATGATTTTTTAGAGTTAATAACCCCTTACAATATAGAACTTAATGTTAGAATGAGTTGTGATGTATGTATTTAATAGGTAATCAACTCATTAAGTATAAGTAAATTTGAAATTTTTTAAAAAAGTGCAATGGTATTTTGAAACTTAGTGTCATAGAACTTTGTTTATAAAATTCATTTGTCATTTAATAAAAATTTCAACTTATTTATATGAAAATAACAAAATACCTATTGTCTTTTAGTCATATTTATACATACACCCTAAGTAAGATGTCATAAAAAATAACTTAAAAAAAAAAAAAAAAAACCCACATAGTAAATCGACCATTCACAGCTCATTATAGGATCAACTTTTATAGTTTGAAAGGTTGTGAATTGTAGATTATCCCCTTCCCTCCCTCGACACGCACGCTCACACACACATACAACAAAGAGCGATATTGTGTTATTATTATAAATTTCTATACAACAATAAGTGATAGAATTTGGAATGAATGCATATAAAAAAAAACTCAAGTGTGGCTTCAATAGATAATAAGATGAGAGAATATAGACTTAGATGAGCTAGCCATATTCAATATAGACCTAATACAATACTGGCTAGGATGTGTAATTTGATTCGAGTTGAAGGTTGTAAAAGGACAAGGGGAAGGCCCAAAAGAACATGAACAGAAGTAATGAGAAAATATATGGTGAATTTTGATCTTACTTAGGGCATGACTATTGATAGAGAAGAATTGATGATCATGATTCATATACCTGACCTTAAATAATTGGGTTAAGGTTTGGATGATGATGATGACTAAATTTACTCCCTCGTGTAAAAACCTCCTTAGGATGACTTTTTGGTGTGAAATTTTGGGATTTATATTAGAATCACCTACAAGTATTCCCAAACACAATAAATTATATATTTTTGACCAATTAAGTATTTAGATATGAACATCAAAAAATTGGACTGTAATTATTCAATATGAGGATGTTATTTTTTTGTAGGTACTTATAAGTACACACACACACACACACACACACATATATATATATATATATATATTTATATATTATGTTTTTGTTTGAAGTTAGTTTTTTGGGGTCCTCAAAATGCTTCAAAACAAATTTTTTTTTTTTTGGGTGAGTCAGCGGGAGAGGGCCCCTATTGTCAATTGCTAACCAATTAAACCCAAGCTCTTTTCTTAAAATTATACTAGAGGAAGTTCTTCAAAACAAGGTTTAAGAATGAATATTTGAAATACTCTTGTGGGAGCATAGAAACATTTGGCACATACATGCACACAAAAACATACATATATGTGTATGTGTGAGTGGAAAAGTATTGCTTTAGCTTGGTACTACACAAGTTTTGCCACCCCTTACTTTTGGTGTAAAGTGTATTCCTTTTAGCGTCAATTATGGCATAAGCATCCTCTTGTCTCCTTGAAGAAAAATAAAAATAGAAAATCTAAAAATTGAATTTTGAAGAGAGTGAATATAAGTTGATTATTAGCCAACTGTTTTGGTACATTTTGGATTTATGGATATTTTTGGGTAAATAGGATTTATGGTTAAATATTATTAAAATCATTTTTTAATGAAATTGATCACCTAATTTTTTTAAGAAGGGTGCGGTTTTGTTTAAGGTCCCTTCCTTATACAATGGAAGTAAGGCACACCTCTAAAAAATTTGCTTAGAAATGTCACTGTGGTGCAGGAAAGGTTTGAAAACTTATTTTCATCCCTATCTATAAATTTAAATTTTAAAAATGATACAGATCAAGCAGAACAAGAAGCATTTAAGAATCTTGAAAATAGATGGTTTAGATAACTTGCTACAAAATGTACTATTCTTTGAACTTGGAATTCTTGTTTTTCTTCACGTCTATATATCTCGAGGCTGAGATGATCAATTGGAAGGTTCTCAAATGCCGTGTCACACTATTCTGTATCATTTTTGAGGTACACCTTACTTCAATAGTATACGGCTGTAATCTTATATAAACTTTTTCCTCTTATGAATCCCCAAAAATAACCCTACAAAATACACCATGTACTAAAAATGGGAGTAGACGAACTTGTACAGTACAAGCCTTCATGTTAAAAACAGTTGAACACTTTATCCATTCTCACAACTTTCCAAAAAAAGGATGAAAATATCTTTTGTAAAAACAGATTTAGGCTTATGTAAAAATTTGACAACTTAGGATGTTATAAGACTTGAAATTTTTTATTTATTTTTGGATTTTGAGTCCAATCTCTATAACCATTGGACTTTGGATGTAATAGGTAATAACTTTCTCGTGCCAAATATAAATAATCTTATTATACACTCTTCCTATGAACATAAAAATAAGAGCCAAAATGCCTATCCCATCCTTTAAAAAATAAAAATTGGTCTAATTTCCTTCATTTGGATATACTTGAGCTTGTGATTTAAATTCATTCACATAGCTTCATTAGTCCAATATTCTTCCTAGAATCAATTCAAAAGTGGACCCTAAATTCTTTGACAAATAGGATCAAAAGATGCATGCGATGAGCAAGAACAGGAAAATGTCCTATCAAATGAAAGAGCACATATAAATGCAATTAACTTTAGCACGAAAGGTCAAAATCTATGCTCTGGACCAAGAAAAGTTGTCTTGAATTAATACTAAAAAAGAAACAAAGAAAGACCTTGAATACTTGCTAGTTTTCTACATTATTCCATTATTAACCTAGAAAAGGTATCTTGAAAAGTTAGGGTAAAAATAGATGTTTTTCATGTAACGAAATCTTTTCACTTTGAGAGTAACTAGATGTACACGGAATTTTTTTTGAGGGTAAAACTAATTATTTTTAACATTTATTCACAATGGTTTCATATATTTTCTAGGGTTGTTTCTTTCACCCTCTTAATTTAAATTCTCAACCCAAATTAAATGAGGGCCAAGTAAATAATTATATTTTTAATTTATTTATTATTTATTTATTTTTTATTGTTGGCACTAATTATAATCATCACCATCTGAGCTTTATTCTAAGTTTCTAACTATTTAGGGTCAATTATACAAATTATATTATGTCATTTTGCTCTATCAATGATATACCCTAAGTCGGACTGTATCTCTTCTCACTACTTTTATTCATGTCGGGCCTTCACCTTCTTAGGAAAGAATATGCCTGGCTACCCTTCTAACACAAATTCCCTCATTTCTTCGAGCTTGGGACCGGTGATGAATCAAACTTAAGATAAGGAAATTTATTTGTTACCAAACAATCAAAGATTTTGATTTTAGGTAAGCAAATCCGATCTATTTAGGAATTTATTACCAAAAAATCAAATATTTTGAGGTCAATTAAAGATATGAATTCTTGTATATTAAAATTTTTATTAACTTGAAAATATGAAGGTCGAATTGTCATAAGCTTTTTTTTTAAACAACCAATAAATACGTGTTTCAAATAGACTTACCAATTATACGTGGTTGTTTTTTTTTTCTTTCAAAACAGTCATGTTTTTAAGACTTTCTAACTATGATACAAATTACAATAATCAAATCAATTGTCTTTTTAATATATTTGTAGAAATGAATGAAGATTTGGTTTTCAAACCAATGACTTTGATTGACCTAGTATTTCGAAACAATGACCCGAGGTGTGGATCATCCACCCTATAAATTTATGTTCATCGCATGGATCACCAATCCGGATCAGTTTGAATAGGTTAACAATAAAAAAATTTAAAATAGGAATTTATAGAGGGGGTGATGCAGGGGACTTAAAAACACATTAGATAAACTTAAATAAGTTTTTTAAAAAATGGAAAGTGGGTTTAGAGCGGTGAGGGGCCCATGCTTTTCAGAGACCAATTCGATGCGGGCCGATTCACATCGTGGATGGAAGATTCCCGGTCTGGATGATTGTGATTCACCTGAACCAACGACCAGATCATCTCATTAAGATGGAGTAAAGATCTTGCACCGTTGGTTCGAACACCACCCAATTATTGCGGGTTCGGGATGAAGCGTGGCACTTGCTGATCGCGCCTGCCTAAAGTGCGCGCCACTCTCTAGATAATCACTTTCTCTCTCTAGATATACACTCTCCTCCCCTCTCTCTCTAGATCTTTCACTCCCCTCTCTCTCTTCGCGATAGTTTATATCTCTCTTATCTTATTTGAGTTACCCCTCACGACAATAACCACTCATCTTCAACTTTCTCGCTCTTCCCAAATGTTACACTCTCTCCTGTGTGCTTTGAGTTGATATTTGAAATATCCTGAAATGTGGCCCCTTGTTAATAATTGCATGAGGTTCTTATAAGGTCTAGGTTTTATAAAAATAAAATCGAGTTTTACCTCAAATTTTATTCGGAAAAGTACATTTACGACAGCTTTAAAATCAGTTTTCAACTCCAAAAATAAAAGTTAAAACCAAAAAAAAAAAAAAAATGTATAGATGTCTACATAATTTATATACAGTATTTTTAAAATTTGAAATCCTAGTTTTCTTTCCAACCGTAATGACGATATCGATGAAGAAGTTTTTGATTGGTTGTTTCGATGAGTTATCAGTTATTTTAATAGAGCTGCAGCCATATCAAACTATTTTCCTTAATAATTTCCATAAAGGTAAATTATCACATCTAGAGAGAGAAAGCTGCCTTCCCTTCGGTCTCTCCATTTCCAGACTCCAGAGTGGACTTTTTCGATGGCAGGCGGCAATAGAGCGAGAAAAACAAGAGAGAAAAAGTGAGTGTGGCATTCAAGAGAGAGAGAGAGAGTTGTTCGAATGAAAAAAGCCGGACCCAGAGTAGCAGCGGATGGGGGCCTGACGATGGTGATCGGAGCCGGGTTCCCCTGTTTTCAGGGTTCTAGGCCCTTCTAATACCACCCCCTCACTCCTTTTATCTTTCCTCTCTCTCTCTCTCACTTGTTTTTTCTCTCTTAACTCACTCTCTCTTGTTTGTCTCTCTTAACTCTCCTCCCTCTCTTGTTTTCTTTCTCTTAACTCTCTCTCTCACTATATATTCAGAGATGTTTCTTCAATTCAGGCCCTGTCTCTGATCCGGGAGATATTTCTCTCTCATTTGTGCAGGCCTGGGAATGAAGCCCACGAGGCATCATAATCCTGTGAGTTTTCAGAGGCCACCTCTCTCTCTACTCTCTCTATTTCCTCTCTCTCTACTCTCTCTATTTCCTCTCTACTACTCTCTCTCTCTCTTCCCCTTTCTGATGCATTTCTTCTGATCACGAGGGGTTTTCTCTTCTTGATTTTCGTGATTGCATGAGTTTGTTGTCGTGTCTCTTTCTCTCTACTTGTGTGAAAATTTACTGGTTTCATAGGCCAGTCTGATTCTTATTATATTTCTTTTAATTAGGTATGGTATTTTAGTGTACAGCGCGTAATCTGTCCGATGGGTGCTTGTCTTTCTCTATCTTTAAAATTTTTACTGGTCTCTCTTGTTAATGTTGATCTTATCTCCTTCTTCTCAATCGGATATAGATATTCTTTCCTCTGAGTACAATACTATTTGCTTGATTTTGTTGGAGTTTTATTTATTTTTGCTTATCGATCAGTGTTGGACTTTAGATCTGGTCCAGATACTGGTGTTCTTGATGAACTGCTGGTTGAAGATGGTCTTGAATTTTTGGGGATTTCATTAAATCATTGAAGAATTAGGTGTTCGGGGATGAATTAGATCTCAAAGTCTTGACGGCTCCTGATTAGTTATAAGACAAACTAAATGTCATTTTACAAATTTAAGTGCAGTATTTTAATGGTGGGAGATGTGTCTTTCGCTTATTATTTGACAATATTTATTCACACTTAATGGATGTTGCTGGAGAATTATGACATTTTTAGGCTTTAGAGCTTTTAGTCTGATCCATCAGATATCTCTCATCTCACCAGTGTGTGTGCATGTGTGTGTGTTTTGCCTTTTTCCCTTTTCTCCTTTGTTTATGGAACTCATGAATGTGAACAGCCCACTCTGAGCAAGGCCCAATGCATAGCATTACTGATTTTAGAAAACAAGCATACCATCATTTGTCGAGATGGAGGTTTAGTCTCGTGCATTTGATAATTAAATTTTTCATTCCTTACTCGACGCATGAATGATCGCGAATGCATTATGGATTCTTGAATTCATATCGGGCAAAAAAAAAAAAAAGGAAAAGAAAAAGAAAAAGAAGGAATATTGTTGAATGCATTGATTCATGATTTTCTTTATTGAGTTTATTCATGGATATAGCTTCTCATTCGGGTTAGAGCATATGGGGCTGATTATGTCCTAATGTGACTGATTCTATATTTCTGAATTACTCTCTTCCAGGTCCATTTATTGAAATTTTTAGAATTGTTTTTACCCTTTTTTTTTTCTTGATAAGTATTTAGAACTGAATTCAACAGCTTCATCCGCCTCCTTATTCTCCTCAATCTTTTCTGCATTTTCCTTTTTAACATTTGAAAACTAGTTTATTCACTGTTCTATTTCGTAATGATAACTCCCTGCAGATTTCTTGTATTCTTCGCTAGGCAGATTGAGCATGCGATTTGAAACTTGAAAGTGCTAACCATAGCATAACATTGGTAAGTGGTTACTTTTTCATTTCTCTTGTATATGCCACATATGTACAATCTAGAAGTTTAGTTAGTTGATATTTGGCTTCAATTTGTTTGAGAGTTTTTTGTGATAGTTTTCATTAGTCATTGAATTTTATTCATTTCCTATGCTCAAATTCTAAAGTGACAATTGAATTAAGGCCTGAAACTAGCTCAAATCCTGTGTTCTGAACTGTGCATTCTTTCATTTTTGACAAAGTTTTTAAGAAAAATTCAAAGTTTTTTAGAAAAATTCAGATGAATGTGGGTTTCATCTCTGTAAATGTCATATGTTAGAAGCTTAATAGTTTATAGACTATATTTTAAGTGAGTTATCCACAGGAAAAACTTAAGTAGATTGAATGGGTCTTTTATGTTATGCAATCTAGAGTACTTTTGACCACTATAGTCCCTTATTTCTAGAATGGATATGCCAAATGTTTCTTTTGAGCTGAATTCACCTATGTAAGGTCTGGGATTTCTTATGGTTCTTAGTAGAATATACAAATTAGATTTAATTATGAAAACAAGTGTAAAAAAAATCAGAGTGAGGATTAAGCTTAGTTCAGTTTTTTCATATGCATTAGTTGTACACTGACATGTTTACTATTCTACTCTCAAGAATCCAACTGTTGGTCTGGCTGAGTCTTAGAAGTGAAATGGACTTGCATTTGCTTCATAACCTATTTCTCATGGCCTTTTTTCCTATTTTGATGATTCTTGCATTTGGTGTTTCAGATTGGACTTATTAACTGAAAATGGGAATATATCTCAGTACCCCAAAGACTGAAAAGTTCTCTGAAGATGGTGAAAATGATAGACTTAAGTTTGGTCTTTCCTCAATGCAAGGGTGGCGGGCAACAATGGAAGATGCTGTGAGTATTTTATGTGTCTCTAAGCTTGCGATGCTTCCTATATCACAATGTTCATTAAGCTTGATGAAACCATGTGGTTTGTCACTGTCTACTGGTGCCTTTTTTGTCACTTAGTCACCATATTTCTGCCTTAAGTTCAACTAAACTGGTAGTTTGAAGGTTCCGAGCCATTTTTTTATTCTTTATTTAGTTTGCTTTCGAATCTTAGCAGTTTAAACCAGAATAAAAAGTGTAGTTTATGCTGCCATTTTTCTTTTTCTTTTTCTTTGAAAATCATCAACCTAAATTTGTAAGGCCTGCCTAAATAGGCATTTTGATTGGCTGCCTACACTGCAAGAATAGTTTGAGGTAATTGTCAATTACAACTAAGCTTTGGTAGTTATTTTATTTTTTCTTCATTTTTCTAGGTTGACTATGGTTAATTTTTGTTCGCGGTAATCAGAAGCCTATGTTAAGCTTGATCCAAAACTTTAATTATTTGTATGACAAAACTTCAAATATTTGTATGACAAATATGTGAATCATATGTTTCAGTATTTTATCCTAGCTGACTTCATGAGATACGTATGCATGGAGTGGCTTGTTTTTCTATGGGAGGCTTGGTTAAAATATAAGTATTTTTTTTAGTAAATGTTAGTACATCATCTCTAAGAAACCCATTGCAAGGACTTTATATACATTCACCATGCAATGAATGTGTACTATCATAACCTATTATGGGCTTACATACGTGTTTTTTTATATTCTGCATGCAAACCCTGAGCTTGATTGCTTTTTTATTTCAATGAAGTCTGTGACTCAATTTCTTAATTGATTTACTATGTTGTTGGTTTCTTTTGCTTGTAGCCTTAAATCCTTGTGTTCTATAGCATGCAGCATTTCCAGATCTTGACAGCTGGACATCATTCTTTGGTGTTTATGATGGCCATGGAGGTCTGTATTTCCTTTTTTTTTTGAATCTGTTAACTTTGTATTAGGTGTGTAATTCTTCTTATTCTGAACCATCTCGATCAGTATGAATTTTTTTTTGAAACTTGGATACGTCATAGCTAGGCCTTGACATTTCTTTATTGATTTACGTTTGTGATGAGTGGCTCTTGGCTTGATAGTAGATTTTGTAGATGTGATGGATTCTTCATATACAAATGCTTTACTTGTGTATGAAGACTTTTTTGCCTCTTTTTTTTTAGTTAGTTGGTGTAATTAGTATTTGTGCAAAAGGGCCTGCAGATTCACTAAGCTTTTTGAACATGCATTCTCCATTTACTTCTTTAACCATGGATTCGTCAAAGATATTTAACTGGTCTTTGCAAGAGTATTCAAAGTTGTATTTATGTAGCAGTCCTAACTGTAAATGAAATTTGACTAAAACGAAAATAGCTGCCAGATATCCTTATCTACCGTACTTATGGTTGATGGTATTTTAATCATGCATGATTTGCTTAAGAGTTTTCAGTGGGTAGTTATGTTATGATTGTATTGAAGTACTCGGGACTCAGGAGTGCGACAATCTGCCAGAACTCCTCTGGCCCTTGCATTTGGGATTTAGGGAAATTCTTGCTTGTTATGACCAATAAGTTAGAGACGGATGTTAGCTGTTCATTTGTAAACCTGCAGCGTTTCCATATGCGACACATTTTGGACAATGCCACTACTCTGATATTTTTACTGGAAAATTAAAGGAGGGAAACGCAAAAGATAAAAAAGCATTAAAGAACTATTACTTTGGATGAAGGATTAAAGTTTCAAACCATGATGAGCCTGTTTGTAATGATTAATGAAAGTTTTCTCATTGTATTTTTATCTATTTGGATATAAAAATATTTCTAATGTAATGATTCATGTTCAGCTTAATATTCTGAACTTGGTTTTATTTTAGAGTTTGTTAATCCAAGGATTTTATGTTTTTTGTACTTATGTGGTTTGTTATGAAAAATATGAATCAACAAAAAGGACCTGTTCCCATCTTTTACTTTTGGGCTAGTCATGTGGTCTCCCTCCTCCCAATTTTCTGGAATATTTAGACCCTTGCAATCACTCAAAACCCATGAACCCCTTTGACCAAAACGTTTTGGTCTGAACACTTTTCTTCTCGTTTAGTACATAAAAAATGTCTTTTCAACCCATATATGGTGTTCAGAATCCATATTGGTCCACCCCTTCTCTCTCTCTAATTTCTTTAACCCTTCTCTCTCTCTTACACATGGCAAAATTTTCTCTCTCTAGCATTCTCTATCTCCCTCTGTCTTACTCAGAAAAGGTCTTTCGCAAAAGCTTCAACCTTGGTTAGTGTAGAGTGGTTTCTAAAAGTATTCTGTGCTCACATTTGGTCAGCTTCACATTTGCTGGGGCTGTTAGACATGCACCCAGGCAGAGTATCAGAGGGTGATTTTGCTTATGCTAAAGACTCAAAACTCCTCAAATACTCTTACTGGTTTGGAAGCATGTGCACTCAACTTGAAAATCTTTTGAATTGGGTTAAACAGGCTTCTTCATTGTCTTCTTCAACATAAGAGATTCATTTAACTAGTCAACAACAGGGACGACTATTGATGGATATTCAGTTATGGATTCCTTCTGTTTTCCAAGCTACTGTATCATGAAACCAATCAAGGCTTGTGTATCCAGATTCAGTGGCTTTCCCCATTGATAATTGCCCAAATAACAGCACCATCTCAAGGGACCTGAAACTGTTTTCTGAATGCACAGCCCAAGATCAATGCTCGAAGGCAACACCCATAACATTTTTGATTCATGGTAGAAAGACTGTTGTCCCTTTCTCCTCATTCTCTTTGCAAAACAGGACAGCTTACTTTCTCTAAAAACAGGACAAGAAGATTTTCCCCTCCACCTTTCTTGGACAAGAAAGCTCATGCCCTATCTTCTACAAATTTGCCAGTAGATATCTCTTGAAACGATTGATGCTGGTTTGATGAGTTATCAGCAGGGCACCTCTGTTGTTGTGTTGGCCATCAACTTTGCTCACCCAAATAACCTCTGTTTAAAACACTCTCATGACTGCAACTTCAGCAAAGCTTTTCCAGAGATAAGAGTTGCACTTTTCCATAGATAAGAGTAGTAATTTCCCACAGAGAAAGAGATAGGTTTTCATAAGTACTGGTTCGGGGAGACTGCTGCACTATGAGGGGAGGGAGGGGAGGGGAAGGGGGGGGGGGGAGAGTGTGTAGAGGGAGAGAGAGACTACAATGAGCAAGAGGGAGAATGGTAGGGTGAGAGACAATTTACATGGGTAAGAGAGATGGAAAAGAGGGAAATGCTTTGCAGAGAGAGAGAGAGAGAGAGAGAGAGCGAGAGAGGGTGCTAATAAAATAGAGAGAGAATGGACATACCAATATGGATTTTGTGAATTCAATAGGGACAAAAATGACCTTTTTCATCCTATTAAAGGAGGTGAGCAGGGCTTCAAGCCAAACTATATTTGGTCAAAAGGGGTTCATGTGTTTTGGGTGGTCACGACGGTCCAAATGGCCCGTAAAACTGGGAGGAGAGGGACCGTGTAATTTTTCTTTTCTTTTTCTTGAAAAACTGCAGTCTTCAATGACCACATACGTGTGGGTTTACTCTACTAGGAATTGTTGAATTTTGTATCGGTATTCTCATTTAAGATAGATCATATTGTCTCCGATTATTAATAGTTAAGGGCTTAAGGGCATGAATTTCACTTATTAAAAACTTGGACTATAGCATGAGGAGGTTGTACTTTTCACATGTATATTGAAATAAGATGAGAGAGGTTGGCAAGTATGTCATATGATAAAGGTCTCAGTCTTCTGACCACCTAATGATTTGATGTCTGCTTATCTTCATTATACTGTCATGAGTAACATGCCAAAAGAAGAATGGAGGAAGAGACTGCATGATTTGCAAAGGGACATTCAGTAGCTTTTGAGTTGTAGACTGTTTCTTCAGTTCCATTTGCCTTATTTTATGTACATTCCTAAATTACAACGTATTACTGTCTCTTTCAAAATATGCCTTAGTTGCAGATATTATTTTAGTTTTCTTCTTCATAGTGGTGAAGTTTGATTTAGGCCTGTCCATATCCATGGCTGTGTTGCTCAAGGTCCTCGTCCTTATGTGTCCATGTTTTTATCAGTGAGAGAAGTAGAAGATGGCTCATATGTTTGAGATATATCATGAATCTTTAAACATTAGGTTTCTAGCTGTTTCTTTTTTTTTTGTGGTTCCTTTTTCACTTCTTACTTCTTTTGATAATTTCTTGTCACTTCGTTTTCTTTTGCATTTCTTGTGTTCTGCGGTATGGCACTTTGTTCCCACATCCAAAACGATAATAGGAAACTGGAAGAAGGTTGTGCTTCGTGCTGTTTGGACCGTTCAAAATTACAAAATTAAAACTTTACGAAAATGTGTATTAGTTTACTGTTTTATTTTTTTCACAGTTTTCTTGGGAATGTCTGACAAGGTTGGAAACTATTTCTTTTAACTTCTTACATCCTGACTAATGAGTCGTTGTTGTTGTCTTGTAGCAATCTTATTTTTATGTTCATTTCATAATGACATCTTCTTCTTTCCCCAAGGCTCGACCTCATGTTATGATGTGTGCTTGGAAGAAAAATATACCGATCTGTGTATATCTTTTCTCTTGCATTTATCCGGAAATAATTTCATAAATGCAAGTTATGCAACTAAACATACTTAAAGTTTTGCAGCTATGACTCAAAACATCTTTCAGCTCTAACTTGAAACTCCTGCAAACAATTCTGAGCGCTCCCCCTTCTAAGTGATAATTATACCCTTGACTTCGAAAAAAGGAAAAAAAAGATGGTTATACTGTTTGAATATTTCCCGGAGATCCTTTGCTGGAAAAGGAAGTGCTTGTTGCATTTTTTACATTTCTCATGGGATTTATCATACTTTATTATATGCAGGTAAAGTTGTAGCAAAGTTTTGTGCCAAATTTCTTCACACTCAAGTGCTTAAAAATGAGGCGTCTTCACCTGGTGATTTGGGTGCTTCAATTCAGAAATCTTTCTTCAGGTTTGCTTCGTTCCTCTTATGTTCTGATTATGGTGTGGTGCATTGATTGCATGGTCTACACCTCATACCTTGGTCTCTATTAGAACAACTCGAACTGTAAACTTGTTGAGTGATTTTCTGTTCTTTTGTCACTTGCATTTTTTGTTTGGGTCTGTATAGTATGAGACTATTTACCTGTGGTAGAAGTAGGTCACAACTGCTTACAACCATCCGATGTGAAAGTTGACGGCTTGGGTGTGTCACGAAGCTCGAAAACATTTCTTTTGAATTTTGAGTCTAGTCAATGGAATAAATGCAACTGCTCAATTTCACATCCAATGGTCAAGAATAATTGCGACCTCCATGTATCAAACATAAATGGTCTCATAATATACTTTCCTTTTGTCTACATTTTTTCCATAAATTTGCACAGTTTCTGCTTTGTTGAAATTGCTATACTTTCTCTCATTGTATGTCAATTTTACGACATCATTGGCTGTTGGAAACATGTGTTATGGAGGCACTGGTTCTGTTAGGCTGGTCGAACTGAATCTATTCACTGGTCAAATTAAAATAATACAAATTTCAGAAAATGTTGGAACAAATTGAGAAAATAGAAAAACTTGAAAAATCTTGAAAATTCTAAAATATTTAGAAAAGTATTAGGAACAATAAGGTAATTATAAAATCATAATTCAGAAGCCAAAATTACAAATTAAGAATTCATGTCACAACTTACGAGAAGTACTCCCCCATGGCACTGACTCATTAGGCAATAACTAATTAAGCATTGAATTTGAAGGGCATTAAGCAAGTAAACTAGTAAAGTGGTGCTCATATCCACATGACTTTGAATTAAAAATCTGCACAATTGCACGACACAATTATGTCCTCTCACAATCACAGAGACATAAACCATAAAGCAATCTAAGATTTCAAATTCCAATATTTGATTGTTACAAGAGTGGATACCTATTGCATAAATTATAGAACAGATAAATGCCAGGTCATTCTAATCTTCATCTTCATATCCTTCTAATTTGTCATCATTGCCACCTTCCTCTTCCTCATCAATGTCATTGATTTCTTCTCCAATGAAATCTTTTGAATTCTCATCTCCATCACCTATGAAAAAAAGAAAAACTTGGGCGAGTCGACCGGGAGTTTGAGTCATTCAACACCCCCAACTAAGGGTATATGTATATTTTATTTGTAATTAATTATAATTAATTCAATCTTTGTCCAAATCAATTAATTTGTTTTGTATAAGTTTTTAACTTTTTATATTTTTTATGTTTTTTTGTTGAGAACTGTTAACATTGTATTACTAAGGTAGTAAAAGTTTACAAGAAGTGTAGTACTGAAAGCACCCTCATTGGGTGTCATTCAGTAAAAAATAACATTAGTCGTCCATGTTCAGATAGGCTTATAAGATTCACTGAAGTAACAAGGTATACAATTAGATTTACAAAAAAGAAAAACGGAGCTGTGGCGTACTCGTATGAAGGCGGGCTAAGTGGTGCGACTGTGGTCCTGAACAAAAAAGGAGTTGGACCTGACCTGGTTATCCATTCCGAAGCCAGCTCCCTCTTTCGCCAAAAGATCTGCGAGATCGTTGGACGTCCTCCACGTATGCTTCCATGAGATGCTCATACCCCAGCATATGTGGGTAATTTCATCAAAAATAGAAGACAGTTGCCATGGTGGAGAGGACAAGTCTCTTGCCCAAGAGATGGTGTTCAGAGAGTCTCCTTACACAGTCATAATTGTGCCCCAGGATGGGTTGAGGTTTATATTTTTTATGTTTTCAATGAAATTTTCGATTTTGTTTTCTCAGAGAGAGAGATATTTAGCCAGTGTTTTTTTTATATGCTTCGAAACTTTTTCCACATCTTTTAAATACTTTTTTTATTGTTTTCATTCCCTTTTTTCCCCCCCTTATTTTTCCCTTTTTTTTATTATTATTTTTCCCAATGTTCTTTTATTTTTTGGCTCTTTACCACTCAGGTGAGTCGAATGGACTTGCCCGAGTCACTTAGCTTGCCCCGAGTTGACTGGTAATCCCGAGCCATTTTTTGAAACATTGTTGAGCTCATGAGTCCTGAAATTTCCAAATCAAGTACTTAAAGCTTAAAAATTAAAATGCAACATTAAAACCTAAAAGTTATTTCTTTGTGCTGATTGCATCTCCATACAATTATCTAGGATATCTTTCATGCAAGTTTGGTAAGAATAAGAGTAGAGATGAGGAAATAGTCAAGATTGACAGCCAAGAAATACCAAAAAGAATGCACTTTCGAGATCTTGGGTCGACAATCCAGGAAAATGGAGAAATTGGAAGATGTTGCACATAGATTTAGAGTTGGGTAGACGAATTGGAGATGTGCAACTAGAGTTTTATACGGTCGCCGCATACCATTGAAGCTGAAAGGGAAGTTCTATAGAACAATTGTGAGACCAGCTTTGCTTTATGGGGCGGAATGTTGGGCGGTCAAGAAACAACATACCCATCAGATGAGTGCAGCTGAGATGGGATGTTGAGATGGATGAGTGACAAGACAAGAAGGGATAGAATTCGAAATGGATACATTAGGGAGAACTTAAGTGTAGCTCCAATAGGTGATAAGGTGTGAGAAAGTGGACTTAGGTGGTTTGGCCATGTGTAGCATTGACCTAGTTCAACATCTGTTAGGAGGTATGAATTGGTTCAAGTGGAAGCTCAAAAAGGGCAAGGGATAGGCCCAAAAGAACATGATTGGAAGTAATGAGAAAATATATGGGGACTTATGGCCTCACTGAGGGTATGGTCCTCGATAGACAAAATGGCGGACCGAGATTCATATAGCCAACCCCACATTGTTGGGAAAAGACTCTGATGATGATGATCTTTCATGCCTTTGATGATTGGTATCTCTTGGTCGCCGACTATCCTTCAAAGATTTTGATCGTCTATAGGTCAATGGGGTTTCTGCACGTTGTCCTTTGAATGGTCCTGCATTTCACATTAGTTCACTAGCTTAGAACTTTAAGAACTATACAATTTTATCATAATAGAAAAATAATCTAAGATGCTGGTACTATAATTTGTTATCAACTAACCTCAAGTTATATTGCATAAAGGCCAAGTCATTGAGCCTCTTATATTCTTATCTTCTATTTGTATAAGTTGGAACATGCTCCAATTCCTCTTGCAACCACTTGCACTGAAAGTTTGTGCGAGGATATGAATGACGAACTTTTTATTTGAATAATAGTGAAAACAACATGAGAGGTACGTACACTATAAAACCAATCTATGAATGTTAAACAAATAAAACAATGTAAGTTTGATGTTTGAACTTAGAAGAGGATAAATTGAAATACCTGGGAGGATATCTTCACCAGTATTTACTGCTATCTTTTGCCCAAAATCTTCACGGCCCTTTTCATACAAGCTCATCTACTTCCCAATCCTTGGATGAAAATGCCTATCAGGATACACTATCTCAATCATGGTTTGCAGCTTTTCAGATCTTTGGATGGGTGAAAAATGTTGCTTGTTTTTATAAGGATTTTGGGTCGGGCCGATGAGCAACTACATTTTTAGAGTGATGCAAATGCTTATCCCATCTTCTATCAATAATCTCCAAATATTTCTTGTACTAGACACCTTGTACTTCTATCTGTAATTTCCTAATGATCTCTTGCAGCAATAGCCTCCTTTGTGCTATTCTTTGCCTCATAAATAAAATTCGTGGTAGTCCTAGTATCATTGTCGGCTATCCTCAATAATTTCACGAAAAGCTCTGTGACTCTAATCACATTAGCAACTGTGGTCACAACTGGTTACTTGAAATCAAGTCCACTATACCCCTTTTGCTACTCTTTCTTGCATATAGAAACTCCAACCATGTAAAATCTTGGTATTTGTTTTGCATTATCTCTTTCTTGTTGTATTTTTCTTGTTACGAGTTTTTATTTTTTCTTACTTTTTATTTGTCAAAAATCAACCCGTTCGATTTAGAGCTTCCGCACACAATAAGTGGCATCGAAGCATGTTTTGGGGTTGTTGTGATTGTGGTGAAGGTTTCCAATGCAAATTTGAGGTGGAGAAATTTTATTACAAAAACATCTTTGGAATTTGGCAAATCAATGTTCGGGATTTGCTAGCACAACAAGGTCTACATAAAGCTTTAAACAGATTGACAAAGTAATCATAGTCCATGTCAGATGAGGATTGGGAAGACTTAGATTGAGGGCTATGAGTGCAATTCAATTGTGCATATCAAGTGAAGTGCTAACATCTTCAATGAGGATTTGGCATCAAGCCTTTAGTCGAAGCTTGAGAGTCTATATAAGTCCCTCACAAATTGGCCGTATTTGAAGCAACAACTATATGCACTGCATGAATGAAGGTATAGATATCCATGAGTACCTGAATCAACTTAATAAAATTATGTAACAATTGTTGAGCATTGGTGTTGGGATGGAAGATGAGGATAAGACTATAATCTTGTTCTCCTCACTCCTCATTCGTATGAGCATCTTTTGACGACATTGCTTTATGGAAAAGATAGCATGGAGATGGATGATGTCACGATGTGACTTCGACTCTTATCTTGAATGGTTTTCCGAAGAGAAAAGATAATGCTCTGCTACATGCAGACGGTTTAATGGCTCGTAGGAGATTTGTTGATAGAAATGAAAAGGAATGTCAAAGCCAGGTAGGTCCAGATCCAAATCCTAATAAGGAAAAGGTAATGTTTGATGCTTTTACTGTAAGAAAAAGGGGCATGTCAAGAAGGATTATCAAGAATACAGAGAAGGAAAAAACAATTTTGGATGTAGCCATTATTATTGATGAAAACTTGGAAAATGGAACATATAAATATTTTTAGTCTCGACAAATTTTGATTACTTTAAAGACTGTGGGTTCTTGATTTAGGATGTTCTTATAATATGTACCCTAATCGGGATTGCACACATGAGCCTTGATGGTAGCTCAGTGTTGATGGGAAATGATGCAGCATTTGAGATTGTTG